TCTTGGTTTTTTTTTCTCACTTTTCCGGTTAATTCAGTTTCTGTGGTGTTCTCAGTCTTCTTCTATGCCTTCTCTAGACCGATTTCCTTTAGTTTAGTGGCCTTTGATACTGTGTACTGAAAAAATTCAAATACATGTCTCCAGTCCTAATTCCTTCCCTGATTATTTGACTCAAGCAAGTGTGTTCCTGAAATCCTATTTCATTGATGAGAAAAATTTCAAACTTAATACAAAATCAAAGTTGTCCCCCCCCCATCCCCCTTAAACCTGCTCCTCCCAAAGTCTGCTCCATCTCAGGAAATTGTCTTTTGCTTGGATCAAAAGTCTAAATATGCCGGGTGTGGTGGCTCAGGCCTGTAATCTCAGCACTTGGAAGACACAGACAGGTCTCTTTGTGTTCAAGGACAGCTTGGTCTACCTAGCAGTTGTAGTAGACACAGACAGGTCTCTGTGTGTTCAAGGACAGCTTGGTCTACATAGCAGTTTGTAGCCAGCCAGAGCTACAAAATGAGACTCTTGGGGGGTGGGGTGGGGATGGGTGAGGGAGGGGCTGAAATATGTAGTTTGTCATTCAGCTGTACCTTATGAATATATCCTGATTTCATCAACTTCTTCCTATTCCTCCTGTTACAATCCCAATTCAGATCACATTCAACTCCTACCTAGGTTGTTGGATAAAGTCAATATCTGGTCTCCCTGAATTTACTCGATTTTGTCCATATTCTCGCTAAGCTTCTAGTGTGAGCTTTTAATGGCAACAGTTTTTTAACGTCTCTCCTGTTGTCAATTCTCTAGTGACTTAAGTCTTTGACATACTTGTTAGGACCTGCCATGTTCTCCCTGAAGGCTGGCTTCCTGTAGACTTTTTGGCAGTCAGTTCACAGATGAAACTTAACAGGCTTTGTTGTTGTTGTTGTTAATTTTGTCTTTTCAAGGTTCGGGGGATGGGTGAGGGAGGGGCTGAAATACGTAGTTTGTTATTCAGCTGTACCTTATGAACATATCCTGATTTCATCAACTTCCTATTCCTCCTGTTACAATCCCAATTCAGATCACATTCAACTCCTACCTAGGTTGTTGGATAAAGTCAACACCTGGTCTCCCTGAATTTACTTGGTTTTGTCCATATTCTCGCTAAGCTTCTAGTGTGAGCTTTTAATGGCAGCAGTTTTTTTACGTCTCTCCTGTTGTCAGTTCTCTAGTGACTTAAGTCCTTGACATACTTGTTAGACAGAACCTACCATGTTCTCCCTGAAGGCTGGCTTTTGGCAGACAGTTCACAGATAAAACTTAACAGGCTTTGTTGTTGTTGTTGTTAATTTTGTCTTTTCAAGGTTCACCTACTTAGTTTTTAAAAGATTTTTATATGTTTTTTTAAAACCCTCGATTTTTCGGAGACATGAGGAGACCTAACCACGCTGGCTTTGTATTCATTTCATGGCTACCGTAGTGTAAATAGTAGATGATTTCTTTCCTGTAAATGAAGCAGATGTTCTCTATGTTGCCTCAGTCCCTACCACTCCCCAGTGGATTTTAGTAATTTGCCTTTTGCATTTTCAGTTCTCTAGTGACTTGAGTCCTTGACATACTTGTTAGACAGAACCTACCATGTTCTCCCTGAAGGCTGGCTTTTGGCAGACAGTTCACAGATAAAACTTAACAGGCTTTGTTGTTGTTGTTGTTAATTTTGTCTTTTCAAGGTTCCCCTACTTAGTTTTTAAAAGATTTTTATATGTTTTTTTAAAACCCTCGATTTTTCAGAGAGATGAGGAGACCTAACCACACTGGCTTTGTATTCATTTCATGGCTACCGTAGTATAAATAGTAGATGGTTTCTTTCCTGTAAATGAAGCAGATGTTCTCTACGTTGTCTCAGTCCCTACCACTCCCCAGTGGATTTTAGTAATTTGCCTTTTGCATTTTTCATCTCTGCTGTAGATGAAGTCATTCATTCAGTCAGCACATTTTGAACAGTTGTTTGTTAAACTAAACACTTTTCTAAGACCTGACGATAAAACCCTAGCGTCCTTGATGATACATTTTTGGGGACAAAATAGTACACAAAATAGTGTGTACATAAATGAGTACATATAGGATCTTAAAAGATTTTTATATGTTTTTTTTTTAAACCCTCGATTTTTCGGAGAGATGAGGAGACCTAACCACACTGGGTTTGTATTCATTTCATGGCTACCGTAGTGTAAATAGTAGATGGTTTCTTTCCTGTAAATGAAGCAGATGTTCTCTACGTTGCCTCAGTCCCTACCACTCCCCAGTGGATTTTAGTAATTTACCTTTTGCATTTTTCATCTCTGCTGTAGACGAAGTCATTCATTCAGTCAACACATTTTGAACAGCTGTTTGTTTAACTAAACACTTTTCTAAGACCTGACGATAAAGCCCTAACGTCCTTGATGATACATTTTTTGGGACAAAATAGTACACAAAATAGTGTGTACATAAATGAGTACATATAGGATACCATGTAGTGATAGGGTCTATGAAGGAAGTAAAGCAGGCTAAGAGGACAGCAAAATATGGTAAGAGGATACAGAGGAAAACTGCTGGATGAGGAATTGTCATAGGGACTGGCATATAGTAAAGGATGTGCCTTGTAAACATTTTTCCAAAAACTTATTTTGGGGTGAGGTCTGCATAAGTAAAAATTAAAAGAAGCGATGTCTTAAATGTTGAATGGCTGCAAGATGGGCTGTGTGACTGCAGTGAAGTAAGACAGTTGTTACATGTGGGAGAACAAGATCAGTGCTACCAAGTGCAGTGCTTAAGGAGAGACCATGTTGGGCTTCTGAATTTTATTAGGGCACCATGATATAGAGAAGTGGCATGGTCTGATTTCTATAAAAGTTCCTCTGATTGGTACAGCACAGACATTCATGGCATGTGGAGAACGTGTTTGTTTAAACAGGAATGAGAGAGGGTATTAAACTAGAGAGAAATTAAAGGAGGAGAAGTGTTTAGGTTAAACTTATAGCTCAAACACTCAGGTTTTCTGATGGCTGGGATTTGGGGATATGAGACAATGTTAAGGATTGGAGGCCCATGTGGTAAATGTTAGGAACATGGATGTCAGGGGTTCTTTTTGGATATGTAAAACCTAAATATCCTTTTTGAGATCCAAATAGAGATGGGGTATACATTAACCTGGAGGATAAGGTTATAGCTCTATAGTGTAACTTGTGGTCTTTACTTTTATATTTATTTAATTTTAATTTTTTGAGACAGGGTCCTCCTATAGTCACAGATCGTCTGGAACTCACTATGTAGACCAGGCTGATCTCAGACTCAGAGAGATCCACCTGCTTGTGCCTCCTGAGTGCTGGAATTAAAGAGATTAAAGGGGTGCACCACCATGCCTGGCACTTGAGATTTTTTAGAAGACTCAGGGACATGTTGTGTGTATATGCACACATGCGCGCGTGTGCGCGCACACACACACTTTTTTTTTTCCTCTTGTTCAGTGTTTTTCTGTTTGAGGTATAGTAACTAACATGACTGACTTGGATGCTAACTGTTTTTATTAAGCATGCTGAAATTCTGCTGTGTTTATAACTACCTTTGTAACTACCTGTTACTCAGGTGTGTTTGTGTGTGTGTGTGTGTGTGTGTGTGTGTGCATGTATACATATGTTAATATGGGAGGAATACTTCTTTGATGGATTTTATGACTTTTTAAAAAAACTATTTTAAAAATTTTATGTCTATGAGTATTTTGCTTGCATGTATGTAAGTGCACCCATGTTGTACAGTGCCCACAGAGGTC